ATACATTCATCTCTTCGATCATGTCAAGAGATCGATTTCTTCAAATTTTTTATAACTTACACTTGGCTGATAGCTCATTGAAACCAGAGCGAGAGTCCAAAGACTACAGTAAAATATACAAAGTTCAACGATTTACTGAAATTTTACGGAGAAATTTCCAGGAAAACTACTCTTTTGGTCGCTATGCCACGGTCGACGAAAGTATGATCAAATTCAAGGGTAGATCAAGTCTCAAACAATACTTGCCTCTGAAACCAATCAAAAGGGGTTATAAAGTTCGGTGCTTATGTGATTCAGTCACTGGATATTTATTCAGCTATCAAATCTATGTAGGAAAAGAGGAAACCAGTGCAAAAGAAACATCGTTGGGAGAACGTGTTGTTTTCGATCTTATATCTGGTCAGAACTTCAGAGGAAAACATCTATATTTCGACAACTTTTTCACTTCTCTCAGATTATTAGAAAAACTGAAGTTACAGAAGTAACAGTTTGTGGAACGATCAGATCAGATCGAGCAGGTATTCCGTCTGACTTTGCTAAGAAAAAACAAAATGGAACGAGGTGANTCAATAATTACATCGAACAATCTCATCTTCATATGGATGGATACCAAACATGTTTTTTTAGCTTCAAATTATCATCAGGAGAACGAAGTTGCTCTAGTCTCTCGTCGTTTGGAAAATGGTCAACTTATTACGATCAAATGTCCGCAAGCAATAAAAGATTACAACGAGTTCGCACATGGGGTATCTATTCAATCAAAGAATATCGTGCTACAGTATCGACCGCAAGTCTAAAAGAAATTGGATTCGGATCTTCGTTTGTTTTCTAAATGCATCCATTTTCAATTCATTCATTTGTTACAATCAGTTAGTTCAAAATAAGATAACACACTTGAACTATATGGTTTTAGTGGCAAAATCGCTTTGCTCCGACAGCGAAAGAACCAATCGTGGAAGACCTCCCTCTGAAAAGAAGTCTAAACTACCAGCACCCAAAACTCTTAGTTTTGAGAATAATATGCATCTACCTGTGAAAGGAAAACGAAGAAGATGTGCTTATTGCAGCACCAAGGAAGCAGAAATGCGATCTAATATCGAGTGGTTTTTCCTGCAAATTGGCATTTTGTTTAAAAGATGGCAAAAACTGTTTTTTTGAGTACCATCAGATTTTGATGTGACTATTCTACGTTAAGATGGAATAAAATGATAGAAGATTGTTTTTCCTATTGGAAAAAAATTCCGTCCTCAAAGGGTTAAGATGTAGTTGTGTTATTGTAGGTGGTTAGAACTTATATAAGATGATTGAAGCAATATCTCATCTACGACATTGTCACCGATAATCTTTAGTGGCTGAATATAAACTTCAACTTCTCTATGTTGCAGTTGTTGAGAGAAGTTTCACAAAGTAGCCGAAAACTGGATTATAGGTAACTTTCTTTTGAGTATGAGAAAAAAAGTTTTCTTGAGTCAGAGATGAAGGAGGGGGGAGGGGTATAACTTTTTATCGCCTTTCCTAAACGAGTCGCCATTTATCCATTGGTATTAGACTCAATTGTATTTCTACAGCTTTTCGATAATATTCCACAGCCATTTTAGATTTTTTCATTCGATTATAGGTATGTGCTATATTCGTAAATACAATACAAAATACTTCAAATATATCATGAAATGGACATTTTTCTAATATATTCAATGCTTGATAATAAATATCAATAGTTTTATTGTATTGTTTCATCTCACGATACATCGTTCCAATATCGAATAAAATTCGCCCATTTTCAGGATCATTTATACTACACATTAACTTTCTTAATGCAATAGAATATTCAAGATGTTTAACTGCTAAATGGTATGTTTTTATGAAAGAATATATATAACCAATATCTTTGTGAATTTCAGATATAGTTAATACATCATATGCATTACCTTTGTCAAGCATATCTAATGCATGTTGAAAATGTCTCATGGCTACAATATAATTTTGCTGTTTACCACAGATATGACCAATACTATGATGAAGTTGTGCAATCAATTGATAGTCATCAATGTGAATTGTTTTCAATGCTTTACCATAGTATTCTAATGCAAGATCGTATTGTTTATTGTTGGTATAGTTTCGACCAATATTTGTTAAATCAACTGAAATTGGATTCAACGTAATTGATTTAGGATCAATGTACTGGCGTAACTGGTAAACAGCTAATGATACTTCTAGAGCCATATCGTGATGTCTATTAGCAGCATAAGCATTGCTAAGATAATCAAATAGGAGATACATTTCGATATCATTTGTTCTTATTGCTGTTCGTTGTAATAAATTCTCAATATATTTAATTGCCTTATTTGGGTATCCCATTTTTAATAGAACATAACTAAACATAATATCAGGTCACGCTGTTTGACCATCTGATAGCAGTTGTGCGTATTTTTGAAGATCATTAATACGAGGATTTTCTCTATATTTAGTGTCACTTATACCTATCATCGATACAATCCATTTGTTATCATTTTCGTTGTATTCAACATTTGTTATTTGAAACAATGTACCCAAATCAAATAAAACTTCTTCCTCATCTGGCATCATACTGAGGTGTGCTATATTAGCAAAAACAATATTGCGTAATTCTGTATCAACTTTAATTTCGAATAATACATTTTCGCCAAATAATTGCGCTACTTGATGTGATTGACTTGTTGATAAAAAACCATTAGTTGACACGCATTTTCCTATTAAATTTTTCAGTACATCAATATCATTCTGCGATAAGGTTAAGCCACGATAAACATTAAATGTATCATAAATTTCTTGATAAAGTTCCCAGTTTTCATTGAATAGTGATTGTAATTGTTTACACAAATCAATAATAAAATATCTTAAATTGAACAGAGCATCAACATCTTCTGTTCTCAACGCTTTGTTGACAAAATTAAATGGGAAAAAGTTTTTCGTATACCATTGAACGGCTTCTGTTGATTTGTATGATTGAAAAAATGCATCGATTTGCTTTAAACTAACATCATCACGATGATAATAAGAACGACAGTAGTCAATCATTTCTTGTTTCGCGTTTCGAGTTGGTATATCTGCATGCAATAATATATCACGAAGTGTTTGATAAAATGAATAATCAACAGATTCATTGTCTAAATCTCTTAATGATTTATTATTTTGTTCAAATATTTTAAATATTGAGAGATGTCGTAGTACAGAACGTAATTCTCTTTCTAACATGGCAAATAATTGTGCGTATTCCGTATAAATTCCAATTAATTTTGAGTATTTTTTATCGTGAACTAGGTCTTGATAAAATTGACTATTCATACAAAATATGTAAAATGAATCAACTTTTGAATTTTGATGATATTTTGTTAATGTTTCTCGTGAGTTTTGACCGGATACAATTAAAATAATTTTATGATTTTGAATTTCGTTTATTGAATCTGTTAATTCTTGGTAGTTATAACATAAAATAATATGTTGATGTAATTGTTCTAATGTCTGTCGTATTTCAGCATCAATATTATCACTAAACCAAATTATTGTTAAATTTTCGTATTTATTTAGTATCATTATATCTGATGCTCTAACAACATCGAATTGTGTTACCACACGTTTATACGTCTGACAATGACTGTCGTCCATTATACAAATTTGTTAATTATTTCCCTCTTTAGTTATTCTTTTACTTTAATTTTATAAATATTCCTGCATAAAAGCGTTACATTTTTTTTTCGAAAATTTACATACATGTGCCTATTCAAACGTGTACTGTATCACAGGTAACAATAACAATTCAGTCTTTACTTAATCAATGTGTATTTTGTTTTCCATTCATCAAACTAACCTCATTTTCTTTCTCGTTTTATCTATGTAATGTATTACTAATGAACAAATACAGTCAGTGTCGTTATTCACAGCAAAAAAGTTTTCAATTTTCGTAAATCTATTTTCTTAGCCATTTTTCCAGACTTGTTGTCCAGTTCTTCAGTATTTATCAAAGAACTTTTTTAATTTTGAAGATTTTTGTGCGCGGTTTGGACAGTCATATAATCGAGACTTTTAGCGATCTACCTGTGAAAAAGGTGGGGTGAATCTGTAAAACGGTCCAGTTGGGGGGATTCTGTAATCACCTTTAAAATAAACAATGTATATCCAGTTTTCGTAAAGAGCAATTATCTTCACTATCTTTATATCATCGGGTTGCTCATAACCTCAAAAATACCCTGAAATCAATCTCCATTGAATCCTGAAACTTTTTGTGATAAAAATTTCGTTAGTTACCTTAATCCGCATTTACTGTACTAACGTAAGAAATTGTTCAAACGTTTCTGATCTTCACAACAGGGCATAAAAAATTCTTCTAGCTAACGAAAGGAAATAACGAATATAAATTATTTGTGTAAAGTTCGGCATTGCCTTTGGTACACTATACGGGAAGTTGTTTGTCCTGTTGAACAAAATGAAATTTTTAAGGCAACAGAGTGGAAATGCTGGGAGTCTTATTGAGATTCTCCTAGCATTATTATATAAAAGGATATAAAAGTTTCCTTATTTTTATTCTTCATCGTCTTTTTTGGTTATTAATCCCACATACTCTGCTAAAATGTGCGTTTGGGTGTGTACCCTAGTCATCGGTTCTTATATAAGAATCTTACTCAATTGTTATATAAGATCTTCCACGAAAGTGACAAGAATTTTGCTGCATCTTAAAAGAATTTCACAAGAATCCATAAGAACTTGATAGGAATCAGCAAAACTCGTAGTCTTATCAGACTCTTATAAGATTCTGATACGAATTCGGTAAGATAGATTATGTAATTGTTTTGTTTTATGTCTTTATTCATTCTCAAACAAACAAGGTCAGCGGGGCAAACCCCATTATCAACCTTCAATGTATATATAAGTATAAAAGGAAAAGACTAAATAGTAAAAATCTAGACGAGGAAAAAAAAAATTAATAAAACTAAGACAGTTTTTCAGCGAGCACAGCAGCTACGGCATTTGACAATGTAAACTTATCAACGGTTGAAATTTCTTGTTTAGCAACACGTTCATTGGTTGTACCAAGGCTTGCTAAAAACGACAAAGAATTTGACGTAACACTACATTTTGGTTTACAAACGAACCACTTCTTCAAAATACAGATCAGGGTAACGATTAATAATAGAATTAACACTACCAATACCAATGAAAAGACGGGATAGACAAACTTTAGAATATTCTTGTGTTTATCTAATTGTTTTGAGTGGTTGTCAATTCGTTCACGATGATTATCAATTGATTTAACAGTTTCTTCCACATGAGTTTTAATTTTGTCGTGATGGTTATCTGTCAGAGTTTTGGATTGTTCAAGTTGTGTTTTTGACGACTGAATAAGATTTTCAATTAAGATAGATGGTACATGATCTGCTGATTTACTTGTAGATTATATAATTATTTTATAAGAATTCATAAGATTCTGATAAAAATCTTATAGGAACGATATAGTACAATTTCATCACATTCTTTAGTGGTCAATACTCTATTATTCTATTTTCATACTATAATCTACTGTTTCATGCGTGAATAAATAATTTTCTTTTCACTTATTTAATTTTTCTATAATAAGTGGCCTTAGTCCACGTGGACAGTCTGTCTCATGACTTGTACTTACTGTCTACTGCTTGTAGACCGAATTTACTTCTACAAATCTATCATGACTATAGGAAGATAATGAAGTTCGAAAATTAATAATATGTAAGATGAGAATGCAGTGCATGATATGTTGCTCGTTTATATAAACCCCGCTTTTTATCAGAATTTGAACTTAGTAGATGAAGTTCTTTTATGATTGCTTCTAGTGCTTTATTAAGACAGATATGAAAAGAGTTTTGATGCATATTAGTAGTATTCGACCTGCTCTATTTTCTGCGACTTAGAGAGTCGGAATTGAATCTGATCTTTATAGAAAGAAAAGCATCTTAAGTAGCGCATTTTTCTAGAGATCACTTTGAAAAAGCGGGATTTATACAAACAAGCAACAAGTTGTGCTCTGCTTTCTCAACACACACATTTTTACTTTTCGAACTTCATTTTCTTCCTATGTCATGATAGATTTGTAGAAAATTCGGTCTACAAGCAGTAGACAGCGAGTACAAGTCATGAGACAGACTGTCCACGTGGACTAAGATCCTATTATAGAAAAATTAAATAAGTGAAAAGAAAATTATTTATTCACGCATGAAACAGTAGATTATAGTATGAAAATAGAATAATAGAGTATTGACCACTAAAGAATGTGATGAAATTGTACTATATCGTTCCTATAAGATTTTTATCAGAATCTTATGAATTCTTATAAAATAATTATATAATCTATCTTCCCGAATTCTTATCAGAATCTTACAAGAATCTTATAAGAGTCTGATAAGTATAACGTACGAGTTTTGCTGATTCTTATCAAGTTCTTATGAATTCTTGTGAAATTCTTTTAAGATTCAGCAAAATTCTTGTCACTTTCGTGGAAGATCTTATATAAGAATTGAGTAAGATCCTTATAAGATTTCACAAATTTTTTCTGTCTAGGGTACGAAGGAGCAATTAGAGTGGATATATCTAGCCGTGAAGTAGTAAATGTCCTATTTTAGCCTTTTCGTACTCGACGTATACAGGAAACACTGCAAATAGAGCGTTATCATTCCGTCTTACTTGATATGTACGTCTTAAACTTAGTTCAAATATGTAATTGGGACTCAGATGGTACTCTTTTTGCTTTCGTTCAGCACGATGGTTGCTACAATATCATCCTACCCGGATTTACAGAAGAGGAGAAAGGTAAGCAATTTTCTCTGAAAATCTATATTACTTTTTTCCTGCACAATAATTTCGAATCGAAAAACGACGGCTAAAGTTCGAAAAACCTTAACTCTACGTATAGGTTTTTGAATCACCGTATGTAAATGCTACATATAGCCATCCAGCTGCAACACAGCAGACATTCTCGTTTACTTTTAAAAACCAGAGAAGTTGGATTTATCATTGCCAACCGTAGCAAAAAGAAATAGCTGTGATTATTTCCATCCATGTTGCACGGGAAAACGTAGAAATGTATGAATAAATTAGTCTTCATTTCATAATGCGAGGAAAACTTCTGGAAACGGGAGGATGGTCTCTGGATACTGCAGATTGACAACTGCACGTTCTTATTTCAAACATAAGTCCATGCCATAAGCTACACAAGTAGAACTAAAATGTTTGTGGGACTTAGAAACTTTTCGTACATCTATAAGAGTTGATTGTCCGAGGCCGTCTGTTTTAAGACGAAATATAATTGATTCTTTGTACTTTATAAATATAAAACAGTAAGACATTTAAATGCTGAGTAGAGGTTTTTAATTTCAATTTTTTAATAATCTCCCTGTTTCTGTGAATATGACCAGGGTCTGTCGACATCGCAACTTGTGCGCAAAACAATTGCATTCTAGTTCTAGTTTGTTCTGACTTGCTCATTTTATTTATCAGCAATTGCAGCTCATCAGATACCATACGTTTCTTAAATTTTACTACTTTATTACCGCTGTTAGAAAATTCCAGCATTGCTTGAAAGAGAGCCAATGAAAAAGTAGTAACCAATCCTATTAGGGTGCTCTATAAATGGCTGATTGCGTGCCATCTCTCAGAATTTTAAGTGACCTATACAATAGTTTTCTTTAAAACGTTGCGAATACTTTGCACCTAGTTTTCATATGATGATGTTCGATTGACGTAATATTTTATACGTCAGTCGTTATGCTGACTGAATAATTTTCTTTCAATTCCATTTCGTACAGATAATTGGCGATTTCTTTGCTAATTACAATACATTTTTCCTCATCATTAACAATTGATGGCTTAACGCTCGTAAGAATGAGTTGTCATGCGCTAACACTTTATATAGAACTTTATTATACTTTTGTACTGATAATGGTAAATTTGATATATCGCTGTCACTATACATTGAATCTGGCTTGTCATTATATCCATCCTTTTGGAATGACATGAGCAAATAAAAAAAACTGTTTTATTGTTATTTCTTGAGTTTATCATATAACGGTTATTGGTGTCAATGTGAGCCTATTTAGATTCATTTAAAAAAGATTTGTTGGAAAAATCTCATTTGCGATCGTGAGATGAAATAAACTTACTGTTTTTATACATATACGCAAGTATCAACATTGTAATGGGTGAAAAACCCCTGAGTTTAGATGATTTGATTGTATGTATATCGAACTTCATTAAATCAATTACTCTATACGTAAAACCATACGCATATAGTATTAGAAACATTATTATTTTCTTTATTTTTATAACTTCTATGTTCCTATCTACTTCATGTTGTGTCTAATCAGAGGATAGCGGAAGCGGATGAGAAACGATGAACCGATCCGATCCAGTGGGTAAACTGGCCGGTAGGAATTATAACTCAAACTGGTGAAAAACCGGTAAAATATCGGCGAAAAACTGGCGAAGTTTTTTGAAAATCGATTTTCAGAAAGATCTCCCCCTAGAATTAAATAGTTTACGAGTACATGTGAAAGAACCTTCATAATAACAAGTTTATAACATTTAACCTTAAAACAAGTGATGAAAAATAATATCTGTCTTGAGCATCGTCTTGAAGAAGA